CAAAAAAAAAAAAAAAAAAAAAAAACACACACACACCGATCAAATCAAATCAAATTAAAAAAAAAAAGTCTCTCCTAACAGATGAAAAAAATCAACAATCGTTTTCTTTTTTTTTTTCCCCCCTCTTAGTTTCTGTTAACTCTACTTTGTCAGAAACTTCCTTTTCTACCACTTTAAATGTACTCTTCCTCCTCCACTTCCCTCTCGTTTAGAAAAACAAACAAAACTCATCCCTTACTCCTATTTCCTTTATCCCTTTTTTCTTTTCTTTTCTTTTTCTGTTGTTAACGAATCATTTCATCCTTTCTACAGTATTACCCTATCCCGTATGAATGGGTATGTACTTTCTCTCTGTGTTCTTCTCTACTGGTTTATACACTACCAGAAGTGGATATCTTCGCTGCGGCTTATGTAGATGAAGAAGGAGGCGCCCGTGTTCCCGCTGGTCTACTCTTTACACTTATAGTTCTCACACTACCACTATTCGTACATGTAGAAACCGTTACTGCTGTCGTCGTTGTATTCGTAGTAGTGGTATTATTATTATTATTATTATTATTATTATTATTATTATTAGTCATCGTTGTAGTTGTAGTAGTAGTAATAGTAGTAGTTGGAACTCCAAAGGCATCACTATAAGATAATAAACGAGCTGTTCCCATAGATCCATGCTGTAATGTTCGTCTTCCACGTGATTGACGGCTTAAGAGACTACTCGTACGACTACTTCGTTCTGAACGTACACGTTCAAAATTCGTTGAACTATTTCTTTTACCATAATTATCATTATGATCTGCTGTTCCCCTCATAGAGGCATATAAAGATACCAACATATCGGATGAAAGGAAAACCGCATCATTACGAGTATCACCTCTTCCCACATGTGAAAGTACATGTTTTGGTTCTTTTAACAACATTGCAGACCTTGAACGTTGTTGTTGTTGATATTGTGATTGTTGTTGTGATGGCTGTTGTGGATCTAATGATTGACCGACGGGAGTTTCATTACGTGGAAAGCGAATTACACTACGGGTCCGACAAAAGTTTAATACAGGTGCCTTTGTTTTTATCTTGGGCTGTCGTCGAGTAAGAGAGGTGGTAGATCTCTTCTTTCGTTTCGGTTTCTCCTTTTGTTTATTATTATTGTTATGATGACGATGATCATATTCTTCTTCTGGTAATGAGTGTCTTGAGCCGCGATCAGGGTGTGAAGGTAATGGAGAAGATTTCAGTATTTCTATTAACGGCGGTGAGGCGGAGACCTTTGATGAGATGTGAGAGTCCGAAAGAGAAGTGAGAGACTCACATAATGCGGGATGAACAATATGAACAGAGAGACACATTTCACTAGGAGGACGAATAGAAGGTGATCGACTGGATTTCGAATGATTCTTACTGTCACTCTTATTATTATGATGATGATGATGATTATTATTATTATTACTAGTAATACTGCTGCTACGACTATTAATACTCTTGTTGTTGTTGTTGTTGTTGTTGTTGTTGTTGTTGTTGTTGTTATGATGATGATGGCGATGATTTCTATTGTGACTCAAATAAGGAATTTTCGCCTGTTCCTTATCATTTCCAATCATTACTGTAGAGGACCATTCTGTTTCATCATCATCATCATCATCTTCTTCTTCTTTCATCATCTCCCTCACATTATGAGAATGAGGATGGGAACTAAGATTAAGATTAGTATTCTGCTTCTTTTTATTCTTCTTGCCCATCTTCTTTGTTTTCCTTGTATCTATCATATTCTCTTCTTCATTTAATGTAGAGATGGGTATCGTAATGGCATGTGCGGTGGGATCAAAATGTCGTCGTGGTGGAGATTTATACGCAGCCCCACTGCGTCTCACTAAACTACTGCGAGTTCCACTATTTGTAAAGGCCGCATCTCGAGAACTAGGCCCACGATAAGGAGATGCGAATCCCTGATGTTGGGATGGATGTTCTTGTTGAGTCTCCACATCATGACTATCTCTACGATAAGGTTGACTAGAGGAGGAAATGGTAGAGGTACGTAATGGTGTGGATAGTCTCTCTTCTTTTCTTTTCTTCTGTTGTTCTTCTTCTTTTTCTTTTTCTTTTTCTTCTCTTGTTTCTATTCCTGGATATGCTGATTCTCCTCCAATGGGGTTCACTACTTCTCTACGCATCTTATTATCACTATCCACACCACTTCTCCTCTCCTTCTCTTCACATTCCCCAACTCTTGCCATCATAACAGGCGACTTATCTCGTGGATTTATAATAACTGTAGATTGTAAACTATTTTCACCCGCCAGGGCTGTACGTTTTGCCCGTACATCTACAAGACGATCTAATTCCCTTCGCATAGCAAACCATGTGGCTCGTGGAAGATGTGGGACTTCTGCCGCTAATCTCTCATGTTCTTGTTGAATATATTGTTGTTCACGTTGTCGAGTTACCGCCTCACGTGCAAGCGTGGCTTGTGTAGGTCGAATATTAAATGGTTTACTATTTGTGAGAAGTGGTTTTCGCCGGGATACACTACGTTTGGTATTTGATTTAGGTTCAGATCCTGCCTTCAGTCGTTGTTGTAATTCTTGTAATTGTATTTCTCGTTCGCGTTGTTGAGATGATCGTTTCTGTGAATGTCGTTGCGAGTGTACTTCTCTTCCGGTGGAGGAGGGTGTACGCATCATCATTGTCCTGTTCACACCTTTACTTCCTCCTCTACTTGTAGTAGTAGTAGTAATAGTAGTATTAGGTGTAGAGAGCGGATAATCATTTACAGAAGGATGTACATTCAAGACTCGTCTGCTATGTTGTCGTTCAAATCCACTGGCACTTCGTCTTAATTCCATAGGCCTTGATTTATTATTATTATTATTATTATTTTGTTGTCCCGATACTGTTGTGTGGTTTCTTCCCAAGAAGAATGATGATGATGACTGTTGTTTCCCAAAGGTTCTCAAATCTAGTGAAGCCCTATTATTATTATTATTATTATTATTCACATTTCCTCTCATGGGATCATTACTATGAAGAGAACGTGGTAAACACGGGGCAGAGGCCGTTCGCACTACAGCTCGTAGTTTCACATTTGATCTGTTTGCACCCATCGCCGTGGAGTTTTCACGTGTTTGTGAGAAAAGACGATGATAAAGATTAGAAACATTTCGTGTATACCACGGCTGTAGTGTAGATCCTCCTATTCCTACTCCTCCTCCACGTACTGTATTGTTGGATGTTAATATCTCTCTTCTTGTATTATTATTATTATTATTATTATTATTAGTAGTAGTAGTGGATCTTACGGTTGTTGGTTTCCCTGCTAATGATGGGGGCCGAAGGAGTTTACGAGCCACATTTAATTCTTCCTGTTTTATTCTTCTCCCACCTTTACTAGCGAGAAGGGCATTCTTTTTAGATTTTGGTGAGAGTCCCAGTGTGTGGCTTTTCTGTGGATTACCGCGACTTGCAGAGAGGGACTCTCGTTGTTGTTGTTGTTGTTGTTGAGAGAGTGGTTTCTCCTTTGGTGTGGTCCGTAAAAGTCGTTCTTGACGTTGAGGTGTTTTCAATACTTTCTGTTCAAACTCTTCTTCTTTTTCTTTTTTTTCTTGTTGAGATCGCTGTAGTAGTAGTAGTTGTAGTTGTTTTTGTTTTCGTATTGATGATGATAGTGGTGGTGTACGTCGAGTAATTCGATCAGGTGTATTTTCTCCCGCTGTTCTCCGTTGTTGTTGTTGTTGTCGCAATGGTGTAAAAGATAAAGCCCGTTGATATTGAGATTGAGATTGATATTGTTGTTGATGAGATGAGGATAATAACGGTGATTCTTTATGTAGAGGAGAATATCGACTATGGCCAGCAGCAATTCCTGTTAAGTTTGTAGTGTTAATGGGAGTATTATTAGCCGAATTTGTATTTGTATTATTATTATTAGTATTAGTATTATTAGTAGTAGTGAGAGTAGCACTTCTTCTGTAAATAGCGGTGGAAGGCCTTACGGGGGTTTGTTTAATAGGCGTGATGTTCCCACCGCCTACTTTTCTTCGCTTCTCTCCATTATCACTATTACTATTCATATTATTATTATTAATAATAATAGTAGTAGTAGTAGTAGTAGTAGTCGTCATTGGATTACTATTATTAATACTAATACCAATACTATTATTATTATTATTATTATTATTATTATTATCCTTACCAGTAGTATTAGTAGTAGTATTCATAGTATTAGGATGATTATTACTACTATTACTACTATCACTATCGCTATCAATATACTTAGTCGCCCCCATACGGATATTTACATTATTCTCCATTCTCCTTCCATACATAATTGCATCTTCTTTTCTGGGTAACGCAGCTGTTGTCTGTACGTTATTATCTAAATTCTTATCATTATCATCATCATTATTACTATTACTATTATTGCTGTTGTTTTGGTAATTCCCATCCTTATAGACCCTCATGGTATTCTGAGAGGCAGTTGTAGGACTACTGCTAGTAGGAACTGCAGGAGTTGTATGAAATATATTCTCGTCTCTTTCCTCTTGATAAACGGCAGTAGTGGTACTATTATTATAATTATTACTATTGTTATTATTATTATTATTATTATTATTAT